TAGAGACAAATGAGACTGGTTTGTGAATGTGCACTTATGTGACTGATACAGTGACATGCACCTTTAAAACTACAGCTCAGCAGTGACTGATGGGCAGCTTAGCCGAGGTGTTCGGTCAGCCATGCACAAGATGTTGCAGCACAAACCCTCTAGGAGCATTATTTTATTAGAGCTTTTCTAATAAAATAATGTTGGGCCCTTTCCCACACGTGGCTGTCACCCTGAAGACAAGCTGACAGATCACACAAGCAGCAGAGAGCTCAGGGAAGACCTTCACGGGATGCTCATGTAGTTGTGTTTTAAATCACCCTCCTGGTACATTAGATGTATCCAACTCCTTCTTTGTATGGTATGCTGCAAATCACACATGAGATTCTTTTAGCAGAAAGTGTTCTGAACAATGAATTGACTTTTCACCAAGGAAGCTGTTCATACATCCCTGAACAAAACAATTAAATGGTCTAGGTGACCATTTTGCTTGTAGCCAGTTTTGCTGCTGTCTCTTATGCTAGGGATTTACACACTTCTTTACCTTTTTCTCATTGAGCTCAAAGACCAGACAACCAGTTTCTGTTGCTGTAAGCATTTTATTCCTTAAAACTTTCCTTCTAAATGCTGAATCGTATTTTTATGGGCATTATTTGCATCACTTTCCAGCAGTACCTCTGAATGGCAACTTGGGAGTTTTTAATATTTATTTTAGTAATGTCAGGGAAGGAAAAATTTTCATAGCAAATCAGTAGGTTAAGTACATTAAGTACATTTAAGTACATTTAAGTACATTTCCACTTCAGCAACAAAGTTCAAACATTCATTGTTGTTTAATAAACTCTAGTTCAACCACAGATGTTCTGAAAGCAAAGATGAGAATTTCTGTGCTCTGAAACAATGTTCCTTCCCCTTCTACATCCAAATGTTTTCCCCTAACAGTTTATTCTTTCCTTTTCTCTATGTAAATATTATGGGACTCTGATGTAAGTGTTAAAGATTGCATGAGTTTTCTTCTGAGGTGTTTGGAATAGACTAGCACTTAACAACTTAATCATTTGTGGGATGTGTTTTCATTAACCAGTGACTTTGTTGATGATGTGAATAGACTTGTTTGCTTTGGTTGCACTTGACTTCAGCTTTGGAAAGACAAGCCTCTGTCTGCCTCTGTTTTGTGGCCCCTGGGCAGCGTTTGCTGGTAGATTGGCTGCTTCTAACTTCTTGGTTTGGCAATGAAAACTGTTGGAGAAGTACATGAGTTGGATCAATGCATTTTGGAAATGATGGCAAATTTGTCTCTGTTGCAGGGAAAAGAAGCTGATCGCCATCATATAATAAATATCTGCTCTCTTGCTCGTATTAAGTGCTGTGCAAAACTCCTTATATGAAGGATCCCCCAGAAAAGCTTAGCTTGGAGTGACTTCATGTTCCATTACAATAATACAACACCTTGTTCCTGGCTGTGTAGTCTGTGACTGTGGTTTGTTATATAGTTCCTGAGGAATTACAATGACAGAAGAAAGAAGTGTTGCCTGGGAGAATAAGGGTGGGGGAGGTCCAGCTTCTCTAAGGTATTGGGGTGCTCAATTCCCCTGTAACTGTATTTAAGTATCCAAGTATTTCTGAGAATCTGCATCAAAGTTCTTTGCTCATCTGTAGTTAGTGGGCAAAGTCCTGACCTCTGTTACACTTATGTAAACTCATAGGTCTGGACAGTGAAAAGATGTTTCCACAAGAAGTAGCAGCAGCTTGAGCCTAGGACATGAGCATTTTTCCCATTTCTGCAGTAATTCTACCCCTCTGTACAAAGATGTGTAGGCAAAAACGTAACAGGTGAAAACACCCAAAAGGTGCCCTGCTCTGAGATGGAGAGTGAGAGCCTCCTGAAGGTGAGAGAGCCAGGGGACAGACCTGGATTTACATGGCCCCTGGATTCACACAACCCCTCCTGGCTATGAACCAGTCCCAGGGCCCATCAGCTGCTTCCCTGGAGCAGCACACACTGCTGGCTCTGCCACTTTGGGGACATATGATACTGCCCTGAGGCCCTGATGCCTCTTAGAAACATACAGGAGGTGACTTGAGGCCAAGCACTGTCCTTGAGAAGCCAGCCCCAACTGTGTTTTGCTCTTTGGTGTGTCCCTTCTCCAGGAGCAAACCTTGGTGTCCCTGAACCCATCTGTTCCCTTTAAGCTTCCATCTCATTTTCCAGTAGTTCCTCATTTCTGCCAGTTATTCTGGTTAATTCCCTGCTTTAGTCCTATTTTCTGCACCTGCAGAGAACCCACTCTGGTGTAGGAAAAGTTAGGTTTTATCTTGTCATTGCCTGGTTCACAAAAAAAATGACCTCATAGTTGGTGCTCATTCAGCCCTTTTGAGGTGAGTTGCTTCTGTGATTCTGGGCTCACAGTAGTGCAGTGTTCCACAACAACCATGGGACAAAGCCTGGCACTCCAGGTAGATATGAGGTTGGCATTGCCCACAGTGTAGATGTCTGAATCAGGATGGGCAGGCAATCCTCCCTTCTCACTCCAGACCTTATAGGATGTCTGTACTCAAGGTTGTTCTCATTAATGCTCAGAAATATACTGTGAAAGCCTAGGCTGGACACACGTATTCCCTTTTCCAGGACAGTGAGGCTGAAGTGAAACTGGTTCCCGTTTGTCTGGGTTTTGGTCTTCAAAACCTTTGGCCCAGTCTTCAAAGCAGCAGCTCTGGGGCAGGGACACCATACTCAGGCTGCTGGGGAGAGTGGGAGGCTTCCAGAAGCATTGGGCTTCTGCTCTGCTGCCTGTGGAGATATAAAACATGGGTGGCAGTGCTGCCTGAACATCTCTCTCATCCAGCACCCAATTCAAGAGAGAATAACAATGGAGAAAGCAACATCAGTTTGGGAGTCCCAGGAGTGTTATCAGCTCACACTTCCTTCTGTCTTCTTTTGCAGTGCACAGCAGGACAAAGGCCACAGAGCACGTTTGCCTGATCCTGTATGTTCTTAACGTCTCACTGCATCTCCACAGTGAATGCTCACCTGCTAGTTTTCCATCACCCCCCTGGCATGTCCCCTTCATCTCCCCACAGCGGCACAGGGCAGCGGGGTGTCGGTAGGCCTCCACACAAACCTCAGGGATGCAGTTTCAAGAAGTCCTGACCCAGTTTAACTAACTGGAAACAAACTACCTGATGTCCAGCCTGCAACCTAAATCTGAGGGACCTCTGGGGAACAGGGAGCAGTCATGTGAATTGGTGTCAGGGGAGCATTTGGTCTACAGGCTGTGCTTGGGTCAGGCTGTGCTCAAACACTAAACAAGCAGCTCTTAATGCAAGCTTGACTCCATTTCTCCTTGGTTTAGAGGGGCACCACAGAGCAGCTCCTGCACCCAAGATGACCTCAGCTAGGCGTCTCCTGGATATCTCACTTCCCAAGTGGAAAGATAAAGTTGTGATTAAAATGAAATCTCCCTAGACTGATTTTGCCAAGTGCTGTAAAGAACATTTAATATTCTCTTTACAGTGTAGTCTTAGCACCACAGTCATGTATAGGAAAAAAACAATAGTTCAGCATTACTCCAGGCCTCTCTGGAATGTGACTGTCAGCTTTTTCAGCACAGCTGGGAAGAAGTCAATTTCCAGCTCTTCCTGAAAACCTGTGACAGTGTGTTTCAGCCTGCCCCCATGAGTGGTGGCAAAGGGAAGAGACACAGGGTTAGCAGCCAGAGGACAGTGTGCAGCGTATCCTGAGCTTGTCTCACAGTGTTCAGCTGCCAACATGAACTGGGCACTGCAGAGAGCCCTGGTGACCTGCCTGTGACTGGTTTTGCTGTAGCCAAATCACTTGCCCTTTGTGTTTCCATTTGCCAACTGAGAACTGTTTGGGAATCCAGTTTTGGGGATTTATTTTGTGTGTGCTTTAAGGATCTAAATGGATTAATAATGGTCACATATTGAAGAATCCTCTTTCTGTAGTGTTTGGCCCAGCAGAGCGTTACAGTCAGGCTCAGAGAAAAAGTGTAGAATGTTATTTCTATGTGTGTTTATAAAACAGCCCAAGTAGAGTCAGTAATTGTCATCTAAGCACTCAACACTTAAACTCCTGTTTTCCACACGTGTTTTAGAATAAAAAAAGCATAACTGTCAGTTAAACTGAGAAAGATCCAGCCCTGCTGATAAGAAACTCTGCAGAAACACAGGGACCTTAGTCACCTGGGTGTCCCTTCTGTAGCTCTTGCTTTGGACTGGCTATTGAAAATACCATCTTGTTTCACCATCTGAGTTTGAGGCAGCAAATGGTGGTGTACAACATGACCAGTCCCATGAAGATTGTGTTATAAATCACAAGAGCAGAAGCCACCAAGCAGACATTAGTGATGTACAGTCATGGACTCCTATTCTGCCTTCGGTGGCGTTAACAGTCTCTAAGACTTACTCTAGCATGACAGAGGAAGAATTTTCCCCACTCTGGTCTCACAGCACACCCCTACTGAGAGTCCCTTCAATGCCTGCTGAGGTTTTTGTTTAACTGCACTGGATCTTGGGCTGGGCTCTTGGCTTGGGCTCTCTCAGCTTCAAGTCAGTACTTCAAGTCATGCTTCATTTCCCAGGAAACTGTCTCCATACTGTCCACAAGGCTTCAGCACTCACTGGGTGCCTTCCAGAGGACACTCTTACGTGTGGTAGATTTAGAAACTGTGGGTATAATTAGCAATTCAAGAAATCAGCTATTTAATTTATCCCTGAGCCTAACAACAAACAAAAATATTTCTACAGATAACTTCCAGAACTCCAGGATGTGAATTTAGTGTAAATTCTGCATAGAATAATCCAAGAGCTTACAATGGCTTTGCAACCAAGGTCCTTTTCATTTCTAACCCAACAGTTGCTATTAGTGGAGTGTGAAGTGTGAACCTTCTGTCTGTTAATCCCTGGAAGATGCATGGGTTTGCAGTGAAGTGGAGCTTGGTGGAATGTGAATCAAATCACTGATCTTCCTCATCCTTTGTCTTTGTATTTAGACCATAAATGGCCACGTTAAATAGATGTGAACGATAAATATGAAAAGCCACTTGAGGCAAACTGTGAAACGAAAGACTCTGTGTTCTCAGATGATGAAGAGAACGATTTATTGGATAGTGCATCCATGAACAAAAGGCCTAAAAAGAAGGATCAACCCCTTGAGGTACTTTCAAACTGTCGAGGTTCCTCCTTCTGTTACGTTCTTTGAGTATTTGAGTGAACACCTCTTTGGCCTAACAAGACTGAATCCAAAAGCAGCACTTTTCTGGTCTTTCAGGGGTGGGTCTTGTTATGAGAACACTCAGTTTCCTACACATGTGGTTTCCCTGATAGAAATTCGAATCTATGCCTGTGGAAATAATAATTGCACAGAGCTTCAGAGTTGGATTTTGAGTTGCAAAACTTGGATCTAGCTCTAAACCACATGCTAATGTGGAGGTATTTCAATGAGAGGATTTGGATATCAACCACTGGCTAATTTTTCCTGTCTGTAGCAGAAAATGTATTTTCTTTCCTGAGGCAGAGTGTTTGTGGGGAGAGCAGCCAGCACCCATAGCCAGAGAGCTCCGAGCTCAAACCCTCGTGCACCTGGCCAAACCACACCAACACCAGCAGTGGTTCTACTGCTGACTCCATGATTTCAGTAGGTTTTGAATCACCGTATTAAGAACTGTGATTTAATTTGCTACACAAAAACAAAACAAAACTAATGGAGACGCAGATCTCACACTGCAGTTTGACAAAAGCAATTTTAGCAACATTCTGTTATGGAGGAAATACAACCAACCTCTGCATGAGATGCTGTAGGCAAGGAATCCTTCCAGATCTGGGCAGTGGGGGACAGAGCCACATTTAGCAGCTCCAATGTAGCTCTCAGATTGCAGCCAGCAGGACTCCACCCTGGGGTAGCTGGGTTTGTTTCTCTTTCCCTAAGCCAGTATGGGAGAGCAGGAGTGGTGTGGTTGTGGTGTGGCTGGTAGTTATCCACGTCCTGCTAGTGGGCTGTTGTAGCTCTGGTGGCTCTCAGCAAAAGCTTGCTGTGGTTAGGTGCAGTCTCTGTAGCTACTCAGAGCTGCTAAGTGGCCTTCCAAGGAGCTATTCATTCCTGATTTCAAGTGTTTACTGAGCAGTTGATGGGTGCTTTAAGAGTGGTCTAGCTTCTCAGAGAGCAGCCTCTCTCAAGCAATACTTACTGCTCAGGTTGTCAGGCTGTGTTGCAGAGCTCCTGGCTTACAGATACCAGCTCTAAGCCAGCAACTTGGGAGTCTGAGTGGATCTATGGATCTGGGCAGGATTCCTCACTGCTATACACAGCAGCTTTTTTCCTCCTGTCAGCTCATGTCTTAGACAGATGTGCTCTTCACTGGGTAAAAAAAAAGGCTGGCGGAATGGGCCCACAGAGTGGTGATGAGTGGAGTTAAATCCAGCTGGTGACCGATCACCACAGCCCTGTTGAATATCTTTATTTATTTGTACTGGACAAGAAGATTGACTGCACCCACAGTAAGTTTGCAGATGACACCAAGATGGGAGGAAGTGTTGATCTGCCTGAGGGTTGGAAAATCTTACAGAGGGACCTTGATAGGCTGGATAGCTGGGCTGAGGCCAGTTATAAGAGGTTCAACAAGACCAAGTGCTGGGTTCTCTGCTTTGGTCACAATAACCCCATGCAGTGCTGCAGGCTTAGGGCAGAGTGGCTGGAAAGCTGCATAGAGGAAAACCATCTTGGGATGTTAGTTGATAGCATCTGAACATGAGCCAGCAGTGTGCCCAAGTGGCAAAGAAGGCCAATGGCATCCTGGCTTGTATCAGAAATAGTGTTGCCAGCACAAGGAGGGAAGCGATCATCCCTCTGTGCTGAGAACTGATAAGGCTGTATCAGGTGCTGTGATCAGTGTTGGGCCCCTCACTAAAGAAAGACAGGGAGGCCCTGGAGCGTGTCCAGAGAAGTGCAATAAACAAGTATTATATGAACAAGTCTTACGGGGAGCAGCTGAGGGAGCTGGATGGTTCAGTCTGGAGAAGAGCAGACACAGGGGAGACCTCATCGCTCTCTGCAACTCCCTGAAAGGACGTTGTGGTGTAGTGAGGGTTGGCCTCTTCTCCCACGTTAACAGTGATAAGGCAAGAGAGAATGGTCTCAAGTTGCATCAAAGGGAAGTTCAGGTTGGATATTAAGAAAAATTTCTTCTCCCAAAGAGTGGTGATGCATTGGCACAGGCTGCCCAGGGAGGTGGTGGAGTCACTGTCCCTGGAGGTGTTCAGAGAACTGTGCAGATGTGGCACTGAGGGACACGGTTAGTGGCATGGTGGGGTGGGTTGGTGGTTGGACTGGATGATCTAAGAAGTCTTTTCCAACTTTAGTGGTTCTGAGATTGTCTGTTAGCCATGCCTTTCTGGATGCAGCCATCTTACCCTGATTGTTTGTCCTTTTGGGGACTCAGAGTGGGGTAAAAGATCAGACTTGGAAGCAGGGTGGAATCTGAACACAACCTCAGTGTGATCTTGTTCCCTATCTGTATGAATATTTATACCTTTTGTATCACAAGAATGTGAAATACAGCATGGTCTTGGATTGGACAGTCCTATAAAATATAAATGACTAAGACTTCTTTTACAAATGGTAAGACCCTGTCGTGGTCTTCCAGGTAAATAGGTTTATGCTGTTAATGAAAACAAAGCTTGGATTTTCCTGAAAACGAAGTAGAAGAGCTTAACAGCCCTTGCAATGTTATCTACTATCCTTTGCTAGGTTTCCACACAGAGATTTTGTGCTCCCTTGCAACATGTGGTAACCACTTCTTGTTGTGAATCTGATGAGCCCCAGTGCCATACCAAAGCTCTGCAGAGTGAATTATGCAGTGCAGATGAGGTTGGTGGGGTTTTTTTTTGTTGTTTATTTGTTTTGTTGGCCTTGCTAGGTCATTTCTGTCTCAGTCAGTTCAGTCTGGAGAGTGGAGCTAATCAGAGTAAATCAATCATGGAATTGACCTGGCTCCTCTTGCGTGTTCCATGGTTCTCCTGGGCAGATTTGCCTGGGGGTCTTTCCATACATTTCCATACTTAAGAGCTCCTTTTCAAAGCTGTCCTCATCAGCTGGCTGCAAGGTGGAATTCCAGTAGTCCTCATCTCAAATCATTTCAACAAATTCTACCCAGTCTCTCAAGCAAGAGCCCAGTGTGTTTCACACTGGTGACCCCTTCTGCTTTGGCATGCCCCAAGCTACTCACAACTGGGCTGGACCCTGCAAGGTGGCTGGGAAACAGCAGTGGGCTTCCTGCCACCAGTTTGCTGTCTTGAGCTGATGGCCAATGCAAATTGCACCAATTTCTCCTGTCTGCTTTGACCTTCGTGTTACTGGCAGTATTTGGCCATGCCCTCAGCTAAGGACAGAGTGGTAGGAGGTGTAACCTAGGTAAGGGCCTATAATGGTTCTCTTCAAGGAGTTTATCCTCAACTGATCCTTCATTAACAATCTTGAGGGCCAAAATGGGCTTCTCTTTTTCTTCATGCCAGAGACGGGATCACTGCTACAGAAGTGTCACAGAGATGAGTTTTAAGGAAAGAAGGAAAGAATTTCCTATGAACTGATGAAGTTTTCTCTTGCTTTTCTGCAGGCACCGCCTAGGACCCTTAGACCTCGCATCAGGAAGAAAAGTACCTCGTCCTCTGCCACTGAAACAATGTGAGTGCAATGAGCCAATAGCACCAAGATCCACAGAATGTCTCTCTTCTGCCTTAAGGAGCTACTCGTTCATAATGTAGGAAGCAGCAGTGGGATGGATGTGCTTTGATGTGCAGCGTTGCAGACATGGCCTCCCTCGCTCCTGTCTCTGTTCCCCGTTCCACGCTTCTCGCGTCTGTCAGCAGTGGTTTGGGCAGAGTGACAGACACCTGCAGATGAAGAGTTCTTGTTTTGTTTGCAGTGTTCCCCCACTCACGCTCGTCCTTAAGGCTGTACATTGACAGTTCTCATTGTGTCTGCATAGCTCTAGCTCTGTGAATGCACAGCAACAACAAAAGTCATCAGTTGCTCGTGATGATACTCGACAGTGTATTTATTTATCATTAAGGAAGTGGATTTGCAGAAGCCATGGATTTCTCTTCCCTCTCTTCCTCCTCAAGCCTGTGAATGATGTAACAAATGCCTGAGTGCTTTAGCTGTTTGAAAATGTCCAAGACTCATTAGGAAAAGCTGAGTTGTAAAGCTGTTTCTGCGAGTGGATCAAATGTATTCTGATTAAATCATTGTGCTAAAAAGACACAGAGACAGAACTTAGGATGAGGAAGAGATGTGCAAGAGAAAATGATTGGTTTCAACAATGTAATGAAGGGGGAGTCTTAATTTTGATCATCCTGAGCCAGGAGAATATTGTGTGGAAAATGATGGCGGCTACAAAACTGGATCGTATCGCTTGCGGCAAATGTTCTACTGGCAGTTCTGGAGCACGAGCAAGGCAGTCGTGTAGTAGCTGCAGCAGCACAGTAGAATTGCTTTAGTGACTCGCTTCCAGGGGAAAATGAACTGTTCTCCCCTAACAGTGCCAGTCCCAGCGTTCTGCTTTCCTGGTGTGGTGCTGGAGTTTTCCTTACACGAGCAGAGCAGGACGCTGGGGCTCAGCTGCTTTTTGAAGCCTGGAGTTTTGCCTGTAGCATGGAGTTTGGTTAGAACCACGAGAACCAGGTGGAGTGTTGTATTTGTATCCATATATAAACGAGAAATATAAAAGAAGAGGAAGATGTTGTAGGGTTTGTGTATTTGTGCTTCAAGTTGGTGTCTCTTGTAAGTGTTAAGCATGTGAAATTCACACAGAAGTTAATTACGTGGCCCTTTGTGTTTGCTCTTGGACCTGTGTCATAGAGTAGGAAAGCATTTAGCTTTACATACTGGAACGTGCCCTCACTGATGAATGCCGGGCCGCAACCCGAGAAGCACGATTAACCTGAGGTGCAGCAGCTTGGGATGCCAGTGGCCGGTTGGAGTGTATCAGGCTCAGAGATAAATCTGAAGTGGCCTTTAAAACCTTTTCTCTGCCAGATATGCATCAGCAGCCTCGCTGTCCCTGCCTGATGCATCCTCGAGGTCTCCCCAGAGCCTCCAATGCATGTGGGGAAGAGAGAAATAACCCTGCGCACACACTGACGTTGATCCGACCTGGCTAGGAAGTGGAAAAAGCAAGCAGGTATTTCCTGAGTCTGCCACCATGTCTGGCCCCATTATCTGAGAGCTGTGTTTCCTTTACACGTGCTAATTCAGTTGTGTTTTCCAATGGGTAAGAAGGAAGAAGCCTTCAGAAAATACATTGAAAAGAAGCAAACATAAATAGCAGTTACAGAGAGTCAGTCCTTGTAAGATACTCAGCAAATGCTTGGAGGAGCTAAGCTTGTGTGTTTTATTTTGAAGCAGCTTTAGAGTTTGTTTGATTCATTTTGGCAAACATTAAAAAGAAATAGCAAAACTGCCTGCAGAGTTAGCAGAAATGAGATCCTGTTGCAAGCAAGCCGTGTTTCCCTGCTATGCAATAGGTTGCCATAAGAGAAAAAGCTGACAAGTTTGCACTCAATTATGCCAAAAAACCCCACGAAACATAGAGCCACATAACAGCTGATAAATTTTATTCTCAGACATGCTGTATTAACATTGATTCTCACTAAAATTATTAAATGTGTCTAATCTGCTGTTTTACTGTCAACTTGACTGTTTGGATTTTCTTAAGTGCTGAGGTGAAATTGTTGACAAGGGAGTTGCCTTATATCTCTCCGAACATTCATTGTATAAATGAGAAAAATAAACCTTTTCATATCTCTGGCAGAAATGCATTGATTTATCAACGGAGCTGTATATCTGTGTATAGATAGACAAGAAATGTGAATGCTGACCCACGTCCACTTTGTGCTGTTGTGTTCTGTGTACGGAAGAGAACGGTCATTTGCTTTTGATTCCTCGTTTTCCACACACAGGTTGTTTACAGGTGTTGCCCCAATTCTGTCATTTCACCCTGCGGCTATTTGCATTTATTTAAAATAAACATCAGACGTGAAGTCTTTTGTTGCAGTTTTTCTCTGCCACGGGAACGAGGTGATGCAGCAAGCCGCCTTCCTGCACTGATGCTGACCCCTCGTGGCAAAGGGTTTGCAGAACGTGAGCACGGGGCTCACAGATGGCGGCTTCTGCAGCGCGTAGGGGTGGGAAGCACTTCGTCTCTTCCTCCTGGCTCAGGCTCAGGGCTGCAGCCCTGCTAACAGCTTGCAGATTGCTTCTCCTAAAAGCAAGCCAATGGTTTCAAATAGCTTCAAGATCTGGGATTCCCCAGCTTAAGAGAAGTACGGATACAGGGGCCTGGCTCCACCAGCAGTCCTGCAGGGCTGGCAGACACCTGACTTAGCAGAGATGGGCTGGAGAATGTAACCCTGAAGAGAATAGAATGGAATAGCTCAGTTGGAAGGGACCCACAGGTACCATCGAGTCCAACTGCCTGACCTCTGCAGGGCTGACCAAAAGTTAACGTGTGGCATTGAGAGCATCATTCAAACGCCTCTTGAATGCTGGCAGGCTTGGGGTATCAGCCAGCCCTTGAAGAAGTTTGTTCCTTTATCTGACTTCTCATGGTACAGAAATGTTTCCCAAAGCCCGGCCCTGGCGTAGCTCTGTGCCATTCCTCTTCTGCCACCAGTTCCCAGGAAGGAGCAGAGCCCAGCACCTCGCTGTTTCCCCTCCCAAAGGGCGCTGCAGGGAGCACTGAGGTCACCTCTCAGACTCTTGTCTCCAGGCTGGAACCCCCCAGTGCCCTCAGCCTCCTCACAGGACGCGCCTCCAGCTTTGGGGCCTCCTCTGAATGCTTCCAAGAACCTTAACATCCTTTCTGTGTTGTGCAGCCCAGAACTGCAAGCAGTATTCAAGACGAGGCTGCACCAAAGCTAAATACAGGGGAGAATCATCTCTCTTGACCTGCTGGCTGTGTTCTGTTTAATGCATCCCAAAATACATTCAGCTCTTCGCTGCACACTGCTGGCTTGTGCTGAGCCTGCTTCAAATAGGTCAGCCCTAGAAAATAGGGCTTTTAACCAGCACAAGGAACATGCGTTACTTTAAGTTGATGCTGAAAGGAAGGAAACTGCATCTGAAGATGGTCTGTGGTAAATGAGTCTGTAAGTTCACCAAGTGCACCATAAACACACCTCAGTTATGAACACAGTGAGTTCAGAGCAGCTCAGTGCAGTCCCCATGCCTTCGTTCTTGCTGTTGTGGCCAATGTCAGTGCAGTTAGTGCTCTGCGATTGCTCAATCAGGATCACATCAGCTAGAAGGACACCATGTATCACCACCAATCATTGCAATAACCCCACACTGATCTAAATTGTGTAAGTGCAAACCCAGCACAGACAGAAAAGGAAAATCAGGCTATTTACTCTTAATGAGAAGGAGAAAGCTGCTTGGAGAGACCCACTGCCCCCTAGGCTCATGTAAACAACCTGCTGCCTCTGACTGCTCTGCAGTGCCCTCATTTAGCAACGAAACCCCTGTGCTTGTGACAGTGCTCGTGAATACAGCCGCCTTCTGGTTCGCTTTGGGTACCTGCGATGCACCTCGCACTGCATTTGGAATAGCAGAGAACACCGTGCTGGGAGTTGTGTTACACAAACTACATAAGGATCATCACTGGGCACCTCGTGATTCCTTCCCTGTGATCAGCAGAAGAGACGCGATGAAATAAACGGTAGATGTGATGTCTCACAAGAATGCCAAAAGCATTCCAGAGGTGGATGTTTTGCTGGTTTCGTTACACTGCTTGATGTGTATCTGGAATAAAGTCTTAATCTTTTCTTTAAGAAAAATCAAAACAACTTCAGTCTGTTCAATGTATCTGGCAGGCCAGAATCATTCCTTCGATCGCTGTATGATTTTTACTCTCACTTTTGGCTGACTGCATATAGATGTACTCAGTGCTGCATGTCCTTCACAACTTTTCTGTATGATGAACTGGAAAAAATACAGCTGCTGAACACTCTGAGTAACCAGTGAATTCATTGATGCACAACAGCCGTGTGCAGCAAACCATCTCTTACTATTGCAGATGGCTCGGGAGCTGATAACAGGGACTGCCTAATTAATAATGGGCTCATTTCTAGTGGATGTGTTCAAACTGCTGCTGAAAGCAACTGCTTTTCACATACTTAAGTCACTGATTTTGTGAGAAACCCTCTACCCTAGCCCTCTGAAAGTGAAAGCAGACCAGTTACACTGCAGCTTACACTGCAAAAGGACCCTATGATAAATCCTTGGCCTTGGTTCACCTGTGCATGCAAACTGAGATGTACAGCATGCAAAGAACAAGAGAATGTTAAAACTGACTGTTTGAGACTGCATTGTGGCCTTTCGATATTTGAGAGTATAAACAGGAGGGATACAACTGTCTATGAGGGTGGATAGTGATAGGACAAGGGGAATGGTTTTAAACTGAGACAGGGGAGGTTTAGGTCAGATATGAGGAGGAATTTTTTCACACACAGGGTGGTGATGCACTGGAACAGGTTGCCCAAGGAAGCTGTGGATGCCCCATCCCTGGAGGCATCCAAGGCCAGGCTGGATGTGGCTCTGGGCAGCCTGGTCTGCTGGTTGGTGACCCTGCACATAGCAGGGGGTTGGAACTGGATGATCATTGTGCTCCTTTTCAACCCAGGCCATTCTGTGATTCTATGATGGTGTGAGGACCCAGCAAATCTACTCCACTACTTAAGAACCAACAAAAGGGACAAAATTGAGTCCTACAAGGAAGGTTCTGTTAAGAAATTTGGCTAATGCCTCTTTCAGTAAGTTAGCAAAGCTGCATGTAACGGTGGGTGCTAACATGGAAACAGGGCAAGAGTTTGCATGGCACAATAACAGGCAGCAACTCTGGAATCCCTCTCTCCTTTCTTCCCATGCCTAAGGAAGGTTCCTTGTAGCAAGCTACCAAGAAGCAGAGACAAAGAATATCCTTAAGTTAAACGCGTTTCTTTTAACAAAATTCAAGATTAAATATGTTTAATTATTCACTGTCTTTTAGTAATGTTTAGACTGCATTCATCCACAAACATTATGTTAAACACAATCGTAGGAAACCACCAGACATCTGAACACGCAGGTGACAAGTCTGGCTGTCATCACTGCCAAGTAAAACACAAGTTGCTCCTCAAAGGAGTCTTTACTATTCCTTTATTTTGGGCCATACTTCTGAGCAGATGATATGCATGTGTTTATTTATAAAATAATTACAGATTCCTACAGAGGAAGATTTGTGCGGTCGTGATACTTCTGGTAGGGATCATCAACATACCAATTTCTTCTTTTCCAGAAAGAAGTGGTCATCTTATCCAGGAGTTTACACTGCGTTCTGTTGCACAACACAAACTCTCTCAAGCGCTTCTTCTGGGCAGTAGACTTCTTCCACAATTTCTTCTTGTAACCAGACTGCATAGGAAATACACAGTGAGTTGCTGCCAATACAAACATATTGCAATACCCATAAGCAAACTAGCATAAATCCCCCACTTTCAGGAAGTGGAGGAGATGCACATTTCCATACCAGCTCTGTCCATCAGAACAAAAGCAATGAATCACAGAATGGCCTGGGTTGAAAAGGAGCACAATGCTCATCCAGTTCCAACCCCCTGCTGTGTGCAGGGCCACCAACCAGCAGACCAGGCTGCCCAGAGCCACATCCAGCCTGGCCTTGGATGCCTCCAGGGATGGGGCATCCACAGCCTCCTTGGGCAACCTGTTCCAGTGCGTCACCAGCCTCAATGAGCCCACTGTTTTAAATAGGTTTATAATACCAGAACAAAACAAAATCATACCTTTCTCCTAACCCAAAGACCATTGTGCAGTCGGAGAAACCTCTTAACAACAGCTTTCACAGACTTCCTCTTTCCCTTCCGTAGACTACAATAAGTGAGAGGCCGCACGGGCTGCTGAAGTAGGTTTGGAAGTAGAGGTGTGAGTCTGAAGACAACAGGAGGAGGCAATACAACAGGAATGTAAATGTGGTTAAATGCTAAACTGTAAACACTCAGCTGTACTGGTATTCAGAAGTTATTTGGAGGATATATCTGGATTTGTTTAGCTTTGAGAAGGGTCTGGGAAACCTCACAGCAGCCTCCCAGTACTTGAAGGGAGCTTACAAGCAGGAGAGGGACTGACTTCTACATGGAGTGATAACGGCAGGTCGGGAGTGAGTAACAAAATAAGGATGAATAATAAAACCTCTCAAAAAGGGGAGATGTAGGTTAGATGCCAGGAGGACATGCCCTGCCCAGAGGGCGGCGATGCCCTGGCACTGCGGTGCTCAAGGCCGGGTCGGATGGGCGGCACGGCCAGCCCCGTACCTGCTGAGCAGCGCGGAACCCCCGCCGGGCACGATACCGAGGGTCAGCGGTTTCCCCAGCGGAGCTGCCGCCCGCGCTCGGCTGTGGCAGCAGTAGACGGACGCGGTTCGTCCCGCAGCGACGGGAGCCCAGCGCGCGAGCGGCCGCAGCATCCCTGCGGAGAGAGACGGCCTTCAGCAGCGCCGAGCGGCCCCGGGCCGCCGCCATTTCACGGGCACCCCCTCCTCCGACATGGCCGCCTGCCTCCCTCCCGCTCCCCTCCCGTCCCTCACACACAGACCCGCCAGAGCCCCTCGCACCGCCGCTGCCGCCATGTCCCCGCGCCCAGCCTACGGCAGCAGGCGGAGATCAGGCCGGGCCGCGCCAACACACGGCTGCAGAGCGCCGCGTCCCCGCTGGGAGGAGCGCGGCCCCCTCCGAGCGCTTTCTAAAATGGCGGACCGAGCA